AGATGTTCAAACCTTACTGGTCCAAGTTCAGAAGTGATGTATAATGTGATACAAATTACATGTTAGGGTATGTCTACACTTGCCCCCTAGTTCGGACTAGGGAGGCAGATGAACCATACTGAAGTTGCTAATGAAGCGTGGGATTTAAATATCCCACGCTTGATTAGCATATTCACGGCCAATCGCCATTGTAACAGGAGTAACAGTTAATTCGAGGAAAGGGTTTTGGATCAGACTACCGTGTCTACATGTGGCGAGTTAATTCGGGCTACCAGCATTTTAAAATGGTGACCGGCCACGAATATGCTAATCAAGTGCAGGATATTTAAATCCCGCGCTTCATTAGCAACTTCGATATGCTTCATTTGCCTCCCTAGTCCGAACTAGGGGGCAAGTGTAGACATACCCTTAGTGAGTAGGTGCGAGGGACTTAAATTCAACAAAATTAACTAAGGGGTGTGTCTACACTACGGGATACGGTCTAATTAAGATTACAACTTCAGCTATGTTAATTGCGTAGCTGAAGTTGAAGTACCTTAACTTCTCTTTTGATGCTGTCCACACTGCAGGAAAGTGAAAAAGGAATACTCTCCCTTTGACTTCCCTTACTTCTCGTGGAAGCAGGGCTACCAGCATTGAAGTAAATCTCTTACTTCGAATTAGCATGTTTTCTCTAGACCACTGATTTGAACCCTGGAAGATCAACAGCGGCAGCTTCAATTGTCTCTGTAATGTAGACATATTCTAAGTGTAAATTTGGTCTAGAGTTGGCTGTACTATAAGGGCTAAAGTTTCAAGATAATTATATGAGGAGTTTGGGGGTCATAGTCATGCACATTAATTTTTTCACTAAGAGTGTCCTTTTTTAAATATTGGTTCTTTGTATGATGCTAGCATCTACATTGAAAGTGGTTATATGACACTACATATGAAGTATATTTGATGACCTTAAGCGTATCAGTTTACAAATAGAGATGGACAAACCTGCTTAGACAGCCTCACACAAATACCCACCCAAAGGTGAAAGCTAAAATGCCAAACCATTTTATTTTATTTGCAGAATGAAAAAAGGCCATTTTTCTTTTCTTCCCTCTTTCTCTCTCAGCCCAAATTCTTGTCATGATTTTCACAAAGCCTCTGTACTTCCAGGGTCCATCCAGAAGAGAAAGTGCCTAAATTATACTAGATTGAAGGCTAATTTAAATGAGAAAATTATTCCACTTGATCTGCGCCTGTATAACTCCCCCATGTGGACACTGCTTTGGAACAAAAGTGCCTTTATTCTGGAATAATTACTCTACTTCTAAATAAATACCATAAATCTAAAGAACCCAAAATCAAACAAACAAAAGACAGTACTGTTTTCTAAACCGGTTTTAGCCAGGCTGCTTTCATTACCATGAATCCAACATATAGGACTCAAATGGAGAAGGAAAAATTAGAGTAATAAAAGTTTAGAAATTTCTCACAATAACCTAAACCAACTTTTTTACCCATTACAGTGTCATTTTTTTTAAAAGATCTAATATTTTAATATCTACCAGGATTTAAATATAGCTGCTACATTTTCACATGGGAAGCCAGGAGCCACCTGCAACTATAAATATGTTTCTGGTTTTATTCTCGGCTGCAAGATAGTGGACTTTAACCCTACAGTTGCCCATTTTACACCACTGATGTGACTATTTAACTTGGTAGTGGTTTAATCAGGGGAGAAAAGAAAAGTTTATCTAGCAGGCAACAAAAAGGCAGCTGTTTGAACTTCTTAGAAGTTTAGAAAAGTAGCATAAATCCAGGAAAGAAGGAATATTGAGAAGAGTGAAGGTGAAGCCACAACTCCTGGTACATATGGTATATCACATGGTTCTGAAGTTTACTACATGGACATCAAAACCATGTGTGCGATAAATTATATATGTAAAATAATTGTAAAATGTGTTTAGTGAAGTCCACTTGAGTTAATATGGTAGAAACACAATCAAAATATCTATCTAAAACATTGTGACTGTTGTTTCTGTTAAATAAGCATTTAAATAAATAATCTGCTTTCTACCAGTTATACAAAGCTTTACATGTGAAGAAACCTTACCATAATAATCATTGGTAGATGGATACATGCACCCATTATACACCCAGACTGCCTGCTTTCAAGAAGCCTTCACTGTCTACACAAAATTCCCACACCAAATGAAATAATTTAAGCCAATGTAATGTTGTAAATGTAGGGGACTAAGATGTGTTTTTAAAACCGCCCAGAATCCTGGACTTGAGTGATGCTTTTGTGAATTTTTGATTGTGCCTTCCCATAAGTCTACCATATTGTTTTCATTGGACTATGTATTATGCAGACAAACAAAGGAAAAGGAAAAAAGAGGACTCTCAGCAGGAGTTATTCTTCTATAAAGTTTATAATAAACATGTCAATGCCTAATGAAGCAGCAAATTTTATCTGTATTGTGCAGGATGTGCTGGTGTCTGGTACTTTTGCTACTCCTAGTCAATCTATTTAGAAGGGCAGAGAATATTGTAAAAGAGAAATTACAATACTTACCTTCCAAAGAAAAAGTTCCTTTTTTCACAAAAAGGTGGTTAATGGTATTCAACTGATTGATATAAAAACAGGGGATCAACTCAACACCAACCTGGATTTGTGAACTCAGTGGTTAAGTGCCTTTCTTCTGACTCTTTCATTCACTTCACTCTTTATTTTTGTTTGCTCATTACAATATGCATGGCACTGTGATACATGTTGGCAGGAGTCCAATGTTGCTACCTAAACTATACAGTATCTCTGACACCACAAGAACAATGTCAGCCCTGCTCATCAGTTCATGCTGTTTGTTTAACAAGGATGCTATTCATGATGCGTAGTAACGCTCGCTTCTCTGCATACACTCATAAGGGAGGTCATGGCAAACATCATCTAGTTACTAGAGAATGGGGCTAGGACTTGGAACACCTGATTCAAAGCCCAGATCTGCCTTTCATTTCCTGTCTATTCCTGAATAAGTTACTTAATGTGCCTGTACCTCAGTCTACCTATCTGCAAATGGGATTATAATATATACTATTCCTCACAAAGACATTGAGAGCCTTGCTTATTTAACATTTGACAGGCGTTTTGTAATCCTTAGTTGAAAACACCCATTTACATGCACAGTATTATCAATACAATATGTAGTAGTGTTGTTTTATCACATTATACATGGCACACATTCATAGCTACTGTTGCTATCTTTATTGCCATTTGAAAAGTTCTCTAATATCACATCTCTGTGCAACAATGAGCCAAAGAAAGCTATAAGAATGATGTAATAAATATCTGTCCTAGAATTTAGTGAATAATTTGCAACAAAGAATGTATCCAGTGAATTTAGTCTCTTTTTATATTCACGGAATATCCACAAGTAGATTACTTGTAATTCAGGTTTATTTAGAAAACTGGGTTTTTTAAATGTTTTTCCTCCACGGATTGATTGCAAACGTTTCATTGTTACTGTAAGATATTCAACGAGTGATTCTGAATCTCATCTATGTTGTTCAGCTTTGATTGGATTAGCACATTGGAAAAATTGAATTAAGTTGAAATTTCTGAAAAAGAGTTTACAGGAAGTTTTGTCTATTTTTATCATTATCTGAAATGTTTCCAAATTTTCTGACTAGCTCTATTGATCGATCAAAGTAGTATCACTTATGCAGTAATGCCAGTGTCAGGTGTTCAAAAGTCACGGGCACGGCCCCTTTAAAGCCCTGAGATTGGTTTAAAACTCATTAGGTTTTAAAAAATATAACTCCAATGAGTTAATCGTTAAGAAAAATATCAAATACCATGAGTCTAACAAATCATTTCCGTTGGCCACATTGTTTGTGCTTCCTGATTGAATGAGCATAAAGGCATTTTGTGCATGAAGACGTGTGCCTGTGAATTTAAAGACTGATTTGCATAAATGTTTGTATCAATGAAAGTTGGTTGTTTGAATGTTCACTTAAACAACAGGTTTATGATCAGTGCCAGAGCAGATTAATTTCAAATTTAGGGTGATTATTCATGGAAAATTATTTGCAGTATTCCTTTCCTCTTGCACTCCCTTCCCACTGGAGTCCAAGAATGAAATCCTACTGAGTCAAGGCACGTTTTGTCATTGACCAGTGGAAACTGGGTTTCACCCTTCCCTTATATCAATAACATACCAGCTTAGTTCCATTTACTTCAGTGCGCTCCTGATTTAGTGCTATGAGAAAAAATAACTGAATTCCTTAATTAATTTTTGTATTAATTAAAATAGTACGTTTGTCAAATAAAACTACTTGGAATTTGCTTTACTTTTTCGTTTTATAGTTAATATCAGTCTATCTCAGCTATAACCTTTCATAGCTTCTTATGCCTCAGCCCTAGAATATTTCTTTTATCAAAGTATAATTTGCATTGATGGAGCACAGGGCATTTACAAACAGAGGTTTCAGTTGAACCTCTTAAAGGTTTCAAGTGTAGTGGTTTGGAATATCAATTACATTCTGTAATGCTTTTTTTTTAAGTGGTGCAATGGCAAAAGATTTCTGTTCCTAGATAATTCTATGAACCAGAAAGATTAGCATAGTTACTTTTCTTCTGTTTCTTACTATTCTTTCTCTTTTTCTGTCTCTTTTTCCCTTGGGTCTAATAACAAATTCATAGACTTGAAAATTTTAGTATGAACTTAAACTTCTCACATATGAATTTTCTAACTGTCCCATTACAGGACAGTTAGAATGAGAGACTCTCACAACAGGAAAATTATTAACTCAGAATCTCTGGCAGTTATAAAAAATTATGATCATCCAATAAACAGCAGCAAGCATCACAAAAAGACACCATTTGATTTTTTCCCCTTTCCAGCACTAACAGACAATAAAGTTGTAGATTACAATAAAGTCCAGTAGGAAGAATAAATAGTGAAACTAGCGAAATCACACTGCAGTGTTATTAACATGTTATTTCATATATTGATGTTACATTTCAGGTTACGTCCAAGAGGAAGACATAAAGGAGGAGGAAGAAGATGATGATGACAGTAATTCAACCGCTCAACTTCACGGCAGCAATGACACTGGCACAGATGAAGAACACGAAGTGGGTCCTGAGCAAAAAGGAAGCTTTAGCTACCAGAATTCTCCAGTAAGTCATACATCAAACCAAGATGCAGAAAATGATTCCCTCTTAAGTGATGCTAGTGACCCGGTGGCAGATACTAAAAGCATTTGCTGTAGAGAGGTGCAGGATCTGAAAACCAATGCCCGCCCCAAACCTCAGAATGAAGCACATAATTGCATGGATAAAATGACAGCAGTCTATGCTAACATACTGTCAGACTCTTATTGGACAGGCTTAGGACTAGGTCTTAAGTTGTCTAACTCTGAGAGAAGGGGCTGTGACAATAGAAATGGAGGTAACAAAAGTGACTTTGATTGGCACCAAGATGCATTGTCAAAAAGCTTACAACAGAGTTTACCTTCCAGACCAGTCACCAAACCAAACCTTTTCAGTTCAGTCCAGCTCTACAGACAAAGCAGCAAAATGTGTGGAACTGTATTCACGGGTGCTAGCAGGTTTAGATGCAGGCAATGCAGTGCTGCCTATGACACCTTGGTAGAGCTAACAGTCCATATGAATGAAACCGGTCATTACCAAGATGACAACCGTAAAAAAGACAAGCACAGACCTACTAGCTACTCAAAGCCCCGAAAAAGGGCCTTTCAGGACATGGACAAGGAAGATGCACAAAAAGTTTTAAAGTGCATGTTCTGTGGTGACTCTTTTGATTCTCTTCAAGATCTGAGTGTTCATATGATAAAAACAAAACATTACCAAAAAGTGCCTTTGAAGGAGCCGGTACCTACCATTTCTTCAAAAATGGTCACTCCAGCAAAGAAACGTGTGTTTGATGTTAACAGACCTTGCTCCCCAGATTCCACAACAGGATCTTTCGCAGATACGTTTTCTTCTCAGAAGAATGCAAACTTGCAGTTGTCATCTAACAACCGCTATGGCTATCAAAATGGAGCCAGCTACACATGGCAGTTTGAGGCGTGTAAATCCCAGATTTTGAAGTGTATGGAATGTGGAAGTTCACATGACACCTTGCAGCAACTCACCACTCATATGATGGTTACGGGTCATTTCTTGAAAGTCACAAGCTCAGCTTCAAAGAAAGGAAAACAACTTGTATTAGATCCTTTGGCTGTGGAGAAAATGCAGTCACTGTCTGAGGCACCAGCCAATGACACCCAGGTTTCAAAACCATCCAGCAATGTATCTTCAGATAGCATCACTCCTGTGTCAGAGATAAAGAAGGAAAGTAAAAAAGACAAACCTGATGATTCAAACAAAGATGAGAAAGTGGTAAAAACAGAAGACTATGAAGATACACTTCAGAAACCATTGGATCCTACAATGAAATACCAGTATCTTAGGGAGGAAGATTTAGAAGATGGTTCAAAAGGTGGAGGAGATATTTTAAAGTCTTTGGAAAACACTGTCACCACAGCCATCAATAAAGCTCAAAATGGGGCTCCTAGCTGGAGTGCGTATCCTAGTATCCATGCAGCCTATCAACTCTCAGAAGGAGCAAAGCCTTCCTTACCAGTGGGTTCCCAAGTACTGCAAATGAGGCCCACAATTACCAATAAGTTGAGACCCATTGCTCCAAAATGGAAAGTTATGCCTCTGATTCCCAGCTCAGCAAACGTGGCTCAGTGCACTCGAGTGAAGAAGGAAATTGATGACAAAGAAGTTGTACAAAAGGATTACACTAAAGAGGGCATCCAAGCAGAAACTACCTTACTCTGTCAAAGTGAAGGGGAATCTCTCCCCAAATCTGAGGCTTCTGTAGAGCCAAAAAAGACAGATCCATGTCCCTTGAAGGAGGAGGACAATCCAAAAGAAGATGGTGAGAAAGAAAAAGCAAAACCCAAGGAGTCAATAGCAACTTCTCTCAGCAATGGTTGTGTTACCACAAACCATTCTTCTGACTTGCCTTGTGTGAATCCACTTAGTGCCCTGCAGTCTGTATTGAACAATCACTTGGGCAAAGCCACTGAGCCTTTACGGCCCCAGTCCAACTCCAGCCCCAGCTCGAGCACAATTTCTATATTCCACAAATCTAACTTAAATACCATGGAGAATCCAGTTTTAGCTCCGGCTCCAACTCCACCAAAGCCTGCAAGCATCTCCAGGCGTTATTTGTTTGAAAACAATGATCAACCTATAGATTTGACCAAATCTAAAAGCAAGAAAGCCGAGTCAGCTCAAGCACAATCTTGTACTTCCCCACCTCAGAAGCATGCTCTGTCTGACATTGCTGACATGGTCAAAGTTCTTCCCAAAGCTACTACACCAAAACCTGCTGTATCTTCTAGGATCCCATCGATGAAATTGGAAATGGATGTCCGCCGTTTTGAGGATGTCTCAACAGAAGTCTCCACTCTGCATAAAAGGAAGGGCAGGCAATCAAACTGGAACCCTCAGCATCTCCTGATTTTGCAAGCTCAGTTTGCCTCCAGCCTTTTCCAAACATCAGAAGGTAAATATTTACTATCAGACCTAGGCCCTCAAGAACGCATGCAGATTTCTAAATTTACTGGATTGTCAATGACCACCATCAGCCATTGGTTAGCAAACGTCAAGTACCAACTTAGGAAAACTGGAGGAACAAAGTTTTTGAAAAACATGGACAAAGGACATCCAATCTTTTATTGCAGTGACTGTGCATCTCAGTTTAGAACCCCTTCTACTTATATTAGCCACTTAGAATCCCATCTAGGTTTCCAAATGAAAGATATGAACAGACTGGCTGTGGAACAGCAAACCAAGGTAGAACAAGAAATCTCCAGAGTTTCAGTTCAAAGATCACCTGAAACGATAGCTGGGGAAGAGGATACAGACTCTAAGTTCAAATGTAAGTTGTGCTGTCGGACATTTGCAAGCAAACATGCAGTAAAACTTCACCTAAGCAAAACACACAGCAAGTCTCCAGAGCACCATTCACAGTTTGTAGCAGAAGTGGATGAAGAATAACTTTTAAGGTATGCATGCATCTGCTCCATAGTGTGTCTTAATTTAATAATTGTAAAGAAATTTCATAAAGTGTTTGTGCTTTCTTAAAAATATTATAGAATTGAAAATATGCTGCTGCTTGATCAGTGTAGATACCTAGTCCATTTTACATTGAATTGAAGAACAAAGCTTGTAAATGGATCACTATCATGACCTGAAGTGAAA